TGAAATGTAAATGTAAAATACATTTCTGAGTTTTCAAATTTTACACCATAAATAAACACTGAGTGTCTAAAATATCAACCCCACTGTATGAACAAACGTGATCTTTTTGTTATTTTTTGCTGCAAATTAAAATGCAGACATTATATCTTAAAAATGTGATCATTGCTTGCAAATATTTCTGCTGTTACCAATCTGATGTTCACCATACCATCCTTGTTCTTTTTTCCGCTGCATGTCACACATTAGTGACTCCGAGAGAAATTCCCTCTGGCAGTTTGTTTTTTTTTTTTTTTTTTTTTGCCTCTCCTCTGTGTAAAAAGCTTCCAGTTTTGTGCAGCTTCTTTGCTTTTCTTACTTTCTTAGTTATTAATTAAGACCATGAGAGTCGATGCTTTCAGCAGAGAACTGGCCCAAGACAAGAAATGCTTGAACTTCTTTGCCATAAATATTAAAAAGCAATATATTATGCATATTATTCTTTAAATACCACATAAAGTGTGTTTTTGTGGCGAAATCTTAATTTTGCATATGCTTTTAAGTAACGTACATTAATTAATAATTAGCATTAAATTGATGGAGCCCGCTTTGGTTCTGTCAATCAAACTTGCACAAACCCCCTCTGACACTTTTCTGTCTCACTCCACTCCCAGCTGCCAGGCCATCATTGTTCACGCCAACATCTCAGAGTGGAGCAGAATCAGCACATACTCTGCCACCCAGCACTCTGATAGCTGTACTTAGTACACTACCAAGGTCATTAAAGGAAATGTGGGGTTTAAAAAAAAAATCACAAGTGCAGTTCATCTGTAATATTTACCATGACATCACCGTTGAAGAAACAACAGGGAGTGAGAGAGGAAGTGATGTTCCTGGACCACACCAGGTTCCATTTAATTAATTTTAATTTTAAGTTTAATTTTGTCTTTTGCATAATGTTCTCCCATTGACACCATTTAAGTTGAAGTCTTCTCATAAGATAATAGTTTTGTTTTTTTAATCACAAACGATGGAAGAGCCATGGGGACAGTGCTCAGATTTTTTTTTTTTTTGGTCATATTTCCCTTGGTTTCCTTTTTCTCAGGCCAGCTGACAGACATTCCTGGACCTGGGACGAAATAATCCCAGGTTTGTGTAACTCTTTTACAACTTTTACTTTTTGTAACTCACTAGTCAGAGAGTAGACGTAACTGAAACTTCTCTCTCCCCTCGCAGAGCATCATCATCATGACAGCAGTAAAGTCACTGTTGGACAAATGTGTTCATTTTCTACCATAATTCATTTGAGTCTTCGTAGATTTGTATCAAGTGGGACAACTGCCGCCCCCCCACCCCACCTTCACTGAATTTGCCTTCATTTAAACAGAAACGCGGGTGAGTTTCAAGGGACAGTGCCTTTGATGTGAGCAATTTATGAGGCTAATTATACAAACAGGATAATAACAATGGAGAATACAAGCAGTCTGTGCGTTTGTGTTTACCCCTCCTGTGGTAACATCACAGAGAGGTCCTTAAGCCATACCAAAACACGTGACGCGTGGCACATTCACACACACAGGACTTCGTGACAACAAAAAAAAAGCAGCCGGATTAATCCTCAGTTGTCCGCGGATCATAATGATCATAATAACAACAAACAATGAAAAATGCCTGACATCAAAGGAAATGATATGCATTTAAAATGACATCGAGTTTGAAAAAAAAAAAAAGAAAAGACAAACGCAGGATTGTTGATGCTCCGACTTCCTCCTGGAGTTACTTGACATCATTTTCTATCTAGCTGCAGGACAATACTTGCATTATCATGCGAGCCCCTTAGCCCAGGCTAACAGAGCGCTTGTTTGCATATTTATTGTATATTTGCACATTCATGCACTGCTCCCAACTTCTCAGTAAGATTGGCTCAGTGTCATTATTTTCTCTCTGTTGTGTCTCTTCCAGACACAGGTCTATGGAGGACAGAGAAAGACGAAGAGTTACACTTTCAGACAGGAATCCATTTAAAAGGCCTGCGATAACAAGCTTCTCTCTCTCTGTGACGTTTGTTCAAAACCTTGTACAGACATTAAATACAAAAGCCTCAGATGTTCTTCAAAAAAAAAAAAGACAACGGTGGTAAATTTTTCATACAAAACACGGATTCCACCTGTTCAGTTGAAACAAATGGGCACCTCTGCACGGAGCCATCTTTCATCATGCGGCCTATTTTTTACAGCATGCCTTTTCACTCGCCCATGCATTAGAAGTGCTTTAAATTTGGAATCACAGCACTCTTCAGGTTCAAATAATGAGCATTTAATTATTGACAGGGAATGAATATTTAACAGAGACACTGGTGACTGACTCTGTTGGCCTCATATGGAGCGATATGAAGGAGGACATGTGGTCTCCATTACCCAGAAGCACTCAATACGCAATGAAATCGCAGCATTGCCATTTTAGACCTAAGCCGTATCAGTCATGAGTACAGGTCTGCAGCTGTGCCAACTACGAATATTACTTCATTGCAATACATCCAGTGTAATGTATACATTATTTTGTGTATTTTGGCACACGTCTAATTGAGGGCTGTTGAAATAGTCAAATGTCACAATTAATAATGATGCCAATTATCATGATTAATTGTGATTGTTATAAAGTATGATTAATTAAGGTAAATCAGCATTCTCAAATATGCCCATATAAAACTGTATACTTCTGAAAAGGTAGGTACATGTATGTGTTTCACACCAGTTTTGAAGTAATCATGGAACTGTTTCTCAATAAAGTCTCAAAAATACAAAATATTTATAATATATACAATTGTTATCATTTTAAAATGAGATTCACAGACTTTGATTTTAGATATTATTATTCATCTTGAGCTTGTAGAATGTGTCCATTGTCACAGTTGTCGAGAAATTCCTTCAAAATTTTAATAACTGTTTTAAGTCCCTGACAATCCATTGGACAGATCTGTCAGTCAGCTCCACAGTTGTTGCCACAGTGACTCAGTGTCAGTGTACAGAAGATTACACCGTCAATTATTGACGAAACTTGTACCGAAAATGTGCTGTTGGTCATTTGCAGCTGCACCTAAATGGATTTTATTTCCACTTTAATCCCACATTCTGGTGTGGAACAGTCTTCACCCGTCAGCCCAGCAGGCTTTGCCAACAGTTTACAAATGTGCCAGTATTTAAAATGCTATTACTTTAACAAGAAAACTACACATACTTAAATCAGAGTTTCTTTATGTCCGTCCTCACTGACGGAGCTCAGGCCTTGTAATCCTACAGTACTGTATATTTCCTACTCTGCCAGTAATTAAATATGTACCATCCTATTAAAACCTTTTATTGGAGCAAAGAAATATGGCTTTGCTCTGCTGTCACGAAGGTCATTTATGTCCCGTTATAATTAGTTGGATGGCAAGTGGCAAATCATGCCCCAATTTAGCCAGCTTTTCTGGATGTTTTTCTTTTTCTTTTTTTTATTTTGGAGTAAACATTCAGCTCCGGTCAGTGGATTCACAACTCTGAGCTCGTCCCCCCGCCCCTCCTTTGTGGTTTTCCTGTCTGTGTTGGTATAATGGTTAATTTATCCCAAACCTCACCAGCCAAACCCCCTGCAAGGCCTCTGACAGCTGAGAAATGTCATTACAGGCCATAATGAAGAATGAAATCAGTTATACCATCGCCACACGCCCAAAATTTAATTAGCACCTCTGAAGGTCAGCTCAAATGCTTTCCTCATGATGTTTTCATGTGCACACAATGTTTGATTGTACATGCGAGTCCACTTTGATTTTTCTATCAGGGTATGGCACCGCAACAGGAGGGGGGGAAAAAACACACGGAGAATAGTGTAATTATGACATTGAGCGTAAAGTGTAAAACCTATGGCTGCCAGAAAAACAAGAAGTGACACGACAAAGGCAACTGATAAGACATTGAGATTGAAATGAGGTGTGGAGTTGAGCCCTTTTATCATCCACTGCAATTCCTTCACACAATGCATAATTAGAGCTCCTCCTCTGGAGTGACACACGGGCTAAGTGTTGCATCAATTTGCAGATCATTTAGTCTT